TTGCACTGCTGTTGTTTGCTTCAGCCCTTGGAAAAGAGTGGTGAGAAAGGCAGATTTAATGTGGTTAGAAATAGCTGGGGAAAATGGGATGCTTCGTTTCATTAACTGCCTCAGCAAACAGAATCGGAGGGTTCTGTTCTGTGAAGTCAGTTATCATTTCTGAAATTGTGTTTAAAATTTTCTTTCTTTTATTGTGTTGGTTTGTGTTAATGTTTTAAATTGTAAGCTTGAAGTATGGGTTAATTTAAATCATGAAATTAGTTCTCAGAGGCTCTTTAGCCTTACTGAATTCTCACGGGATGATAAAATAAATCAAATCATTCATTTTGCAGCAGTTTTGAAAATCTAAATGTTCAAACTAGACTAAACTGCCTAGCTGGAGTGAAGCTATAATGCCCTTTTTTCTTTACCTCATCCTGCTATCTGACAACTCTGTTTAAATAAGCTGTGAAACCATTTTCACAGTTCTTTGCAAATTGCATTGTGTTATGTCAGTCATTTGCTTCCTAAGAACAAAGCTGCACAGGAATTGAAGTGGAATCTCCAATTAACTGTTAAATTATGAAAAAAATACAGAATAATCAAATAATATGGAGGGGTTTGGTCCTTGGTACCGCAGTCATTCTTGTTGATAAGCTTTCTTGGATATTTATGCCCCAACCTTTGACAAAATGTCCTGCATTTAGAATTTGTAATGTGAACCTTCTGTTAGTTTACTGTTTGGGGATGCAACTGATAGTTGTGCCAAATGGAGAACTCTCAAATTCTGCCTGAATTTGAAACCAGCTTTGTTTTTAAATTGCTGCTTGTTTTCATTTTTGCAATAAAAATATTGGAAAAAAAATCAGCTTTTTAACAGAACGTAAACAATGGCTTTTAAAATCACAGTAAGTAATGAGCAGCTGGGAAATACTATGGATCCAGTGAAACAGAAAAGCAGTAATAGTGGATGTGGCTGGTGTGAGGGATGAAGATGAATGGGGCAAGGAAGGCCTGGTGGAAGAGTAGCAGAGAACTTATTGCTGTAGATTGGGATCATGTCCTCCTGTAATGTGTTTAGTAGAATCATCTGTTTAGATGTAACTCTCATGGGTTTAAAATGATGGTGTGAAGTTTTCCTAATATACAAATTTGTGTATTTGTATTTTACATATTGTATATTCCTAAATTTACAAATATACCTGGAATTGAAGGTCCTAGGAAGGACTGAAGATAAATTTGGATTAGTATTTTTCCTTCTGTGTCAAAGCATTCCCTCTGGATCTAATTGAAGGACATACCTATCAACTGTTAGGGTCAAGAAAGCTTGACAATTTGTGTAACAAAACTTGCTGTTAATAATGTCTGTACTCGAAACGCCATGAAGATTTCTGTGTTAATGTTTCCTGCCAGATCAAAACATTTCCTAATTAGAGCTTAAATGAAATGCACAGCAAATGAAAACCTCATGGCATGTACAATACAAGTGGAATATGTTTATGTGGTTATATGGTTTTACACCAAATTGGTTAATAAATCCAGGGAATACAGTGCTTGTCCCCCATCACAAGTGAAATATTTGGCATACCAGCTCTTTGGGTTGGTCATCTGGAGAAGTAAATCGTCCAACGTAACTGCAGTTAGTTTGACTTACACTTGTTGTCAAGACCATTGCTTAGAGCTTTGAAAACTTAAAGGAAACCTTTCTAAACTCTAAAATCTGATCAATTGGGAGCAGCTTCTCGTGCAACGTAAGAGTATGCAATGCATCTTTGCTGTTACTGTGTGTGTGATTCAGTACTGTAACCATAGTAATTTCCTTCTTCCTTTTGCAGGAGAGACCCTGAGAGGAAAGATAACAGTCCGGAAAAACAGAAAGGATCCACGGTCCCTCTTCATAACCCTTTCACTGAAGGATGTGCAGCAGACTTACAGCCTTCAGTGAAAATTCTGTGCATAGAACTCTGGGAGATGTTAAATTGCCCTGCTAGGTTTACCTGTTGATGACTGTTAGAAAAACTGGGAGACTCTTGCATCTGTGTATGTGTATGCACACACAAGAAGGTGACAGAATTACCTAGACCTGAGAGAGCAGTGAGACTTGAGAGATGCTTTAACTCTGAGATATGGAGACTGACCACAAAATCAGCTTCTGCTCTTTCACATAGTGTGGGGAAGACAAGAAAGATGGGTTTGGGTTACGTGAGACTGCTAGGTGAGAAAAATGAGTTCAAAGTCTTGCTGTGAGGAACAAGAAATATGATCTCTCCATATTGTTCTCGCACTGGCAAAATCCTTGTATAATATTTTTTTTTATGAAAGAAGAAGCTAAATCATGTGCCAGTGCACTTAAAAGTAGCTGGAAAATCCCAATGGGAATAATTTTGCAACTCCAACTGCAAGCTTGCAGCAACAAAGACCATATTTTTATTACCCTTCTGTAATTAAAAAGCTGTACACATTTCAGTAACGTTTCTCTAAATAAATGAACCCAGTATGATATATAATGCAGTTGCTGTTTTCCTTGTTCTCTGTGTAATTGGAAATTCTTCTGTCTATCCAGTGATGGCTCATTTATTTGTGCCTACAGTTTTTTCTGTACTAGCCTGTTGGGGCATAAGTGGATGGAAGTGTGTATTTTAGCAGCCTTAGGAAAAATGCTACAAACAAACAACAGTTGCTGAAAGGTTGGATTTGGTTTGGCTTTTTGCAGAAACACTGTGGACAATCAGAGTTGACTGTTGAAGGTGGGGGGATGCATGTAGATATTTGTTCCTGTGTGAAAACTATTGTCTCTTTAGACCCCTTCAGTGTCCTGATTGACATCTGTCTAGATGTTCAGGAGCTCAGCTTGTGCAGCTTGATGGGAATGTTAAAGTACAGAGTACCTGGCCTGGTCAAATGGTCTAAAGGAGAGTTTGACTACTCATCCTGCCACCTTGGAGTGAGTATGAATGCATTACTCACTCTGATTTTTGATCCCTCAATCTATACAAGTGAGACTCACACAGTTTATAAATTCTACCTGTTTTCAGGATAGGCTTTACTCTAAAAACTTAAGAAAAAATGAGACAATTGCACACACAAAATGAATCAAATATGCAAGATTTTTTGACTAGTATGAACGCTCTACAGTGATGTAGAGGTGTAAGACTCAGTGATCTGCTGACATTTTTCTAGCTTGATGACCAAAATTAGTTTTGGGTGGTCTTGTTGAGGTTCTTTCCAGCTTGAGTTTTTCAATATGTTTGCAGATTTGTTTGTATGAATGTTGTTATAGAAGGCAAAAAAGGAAGACAACAAAGGGAGAACAGTGCAAAAACCTATAGAGAGTTGGTGTAGCCTTGAGTAATAGGGCTGAAAATGAAAAAAAAACATATTGAAAATGTTTTAAAGAAAAAGGTAATAATTATAAAATGAATAAAAAAACAAAACCATGAACTGTGGCAAAACCATAGGATTTGGTATCGTTTAACCAGAAGGAAAATGCCCTGTAAAGACCCTAATCAACGTAAAGCCTGAGTAGGGTCATTTGACAAATGCACTGGAGTCTCAAAGAACTCTAAATACACATGAGTGAGCATTGATCTAATAGCCAGTGTCTCACAGCATCCTGTGGAAAGAGCCCATCAATTATAGGTGGCTTTTCTCAACCTGGCAGTTGGATAATATGGGATTCATCTTGACAGCACAATCAATTATTTGCGTTTCCTAATTGTAACTCTTAAGAATTAAATATTGTAAGAAACCTGATCAATAAATACTGTTTTAAAGGGATTCTAATGATTGAATCTGAGGCAGAATAGTAGAAGTGGAAAGTAACTACGTTGAGTAGAAATGGTCTTGAATTTGTCAAGTGGGAGATAGGAATGCTTCATCCAAAATGTGATCCTTTATTCTAAGGCACATGGTCAATGTAGCTAAAGATGCAAATAATTTGTGAATTTAAAATAAATAGTGTAGCAATGGCTGGGAAAGAAGTTGTACATTCTGCAGAATTGATGGAAACATTTCTTTCAGGTGGTGGTAACAACTTAGCTTCCAACTACCTCTGCTGTGTGCAGGTTCCATGTGATGGCATCAAGTACATCCACAGACCTGTTTAATGGAATAGCTGCACCTCATTGCTGTGAGAAGCAAACAGTATTATCCTTATCTTGGGTATTTCCTTCCTAGGGAGGCTGATGAGACTCATGCAGATGTGTCTGTGTTGGATGTTTGTGGTCTCTGTGTCAGTGCTGGTCACATTGCAATGCACAGAGTTGTGCTTCATCCCACATGTTTCCAGCCCTTCTGCTCACCTGGTACTGACTTCTTTTTTTCCCTGACCTGGAGTTACAATACCTTAACCCATAATTATTTCTGCACTTGCTCTGTTGAATGGGAAGTCATTTAGAAAAAGTGCTGGTTTGGCTAGGAATTTTTTTTTTTTTTTAATTGGGAAAGTATGTTTTTTCTGTGCCTAATGAAGTTCAGAAGAACATTGAATGGACAGAAGTTTTTAATGTTTAATCCAATAGTTAACCTTTTTCTCAAGGAGTATTTTATCTCATAGTTATCAATCTCTATTTGTGCTCAAGTAATTTGCATTATATTTAGCCCAAGGTCAGAGGTGTTAAGATTGACTAGTGATTCACAAAGGTTCTGTTATTATTCAGATAAAGCCTGAAGGTTGGCCTGTCTTCTCCTTGCAAATCTGTGCCCAGAGTCTGTGGACTTGAAGATAAATAACCCACCTGAAAAGAGTATGGATGCTCACAGCTCCACTTCTTATTTAGATGTTAATGATATGTTGGGGGTTTTTTAATCTTCCTTGTCCTCTGCAGTGCTTTTAAATGTTTAGCTAAGCTGTAAAACTATCTTCCTGCTTCTACTCATCAGAGAGCAGCTAAGCAAGACCAACAAACTTGGGAGCTCCTGGTCCTTCATTACTGAATATCTCTTCAGTGAGCATCATGCTGGGGTCTCTTAATAGGATTTTTTGTGTGTACATCTCAGTTTGACCTCCTAAATTTTGTCCTATGGGGGTGTACCTTAATGAGACAGATCCAGCTTCTGTGATCCAGATAAAAGCAAAGCCTCAATTTCAAATGAAGCTCTACAGAGGATTTGGAAAGCTGGTTTGGGAGATAGAGCTGCTAACTGAAAAAGGTAGGCTGCTAGTGAGGTATTAAGACTATTTTTTTTATTATTATTTCAAGGATGTTTCTCTGCTCTCTGTTTAATAGGGCCTGAAGTTCCCTGTAGTAATGACTCTTAGCATTTTCTGTCCCTGGTTTAAATTATTTTAAGCAAAAACTGCAGAAGTGTGTCTTCACTGAGGTTAGTGCAATGTCACAGCCTGGCCATGACTGGCTGGCTGGAAGAAGCAGGAGGGGGAGTTGGAAGGAGTAGGAGAGGGAGTTGGAAGATCAAGAGCTGAAGGTAAAAGCTTCTATGAAGACTGATGATTTTATTTTTAGAAACCAGGTTTAGAGGTACAATTTGCTACTGCTTTCACACCATTGATTAGCTGCATGATAATGGCATTTAAGAGTTTTCAAAGGCAACCAAAAATAATGTCATGGGTATATCTCTGAATGCACAGACTTTGAAAATACTGATTTTATGTTCTGTTTATCCAAGCACTGGCAGATGTTAATGCTCATGAAGTAGTGACATCTAATTAAAATACAAATACCACATTACATGAGAAGGCAAGGGAAGGGAGAGAAAAACTGACATTTAAAGTCTTGAGCACTGCAGACAAAGTTGCAGAAGAGCTTCTGTGATTAAATAGGTGTGAAAAACATCCAGTTTTAATTACTTTTATATAGTTGGACTGGAACCTGAAGTTGGCTGAGTTTTCCAGGTTTAGTGGAAGTTTAAACACATATTGTTTGATATATTTTTCTGACCTTATATAAAATTCACAGGTAGATAATTAACTTCACAAGAAAAGCAATGTTTTTAATGGTATTGCTGAGCAGCAAAGACAGAAAAGGTCGAGGAGAAACCTTAATGCTAGTGAGGTACTATGCACATAGAAATTAAGTGTTGTCAACAGAGTATTTTAAAAGCTTGTGCTTTCCCAGCACATGAATCTGTAAATAACAGTCTGTTCCCTCATGTCTACCAACTGGCTTTGAATTTTCTCTCCTTTGCTAATTAATTCTCATCTATCAAAATAGAAACAAACTTCATTTCTATCCCTTTCTGAATGGTAAGAGTGTTACTTGGTTTCTTTGACTTGCTAATGCCTCAGTGTTCTAGCACTCTCTGAACTTCTCCAAGATAAATGAAAAAGACTCATCCCATGGAAAAACTGTACCATGAAACAATCAACTTACAGATACATAACGTTCCTATTGCTGTTCCTGTAACAATTAGCCAAAGTAAAATAAAAGACACTTAATGACAGCAATAACAAATTAAAGAGGAATAAAGCTTACTCAACATGTTAATTCTATTTTCCACTTGGGTACTACTCAAAACATCAGTGCAGACAGAGTGAGAGCAAATATGTCCCATGGAAAGCAAACTAACCAAACTTAGCCTTTCACAAGTGAGAGCTGCAATCCTGATAAAATTATTCTCCTTGGATTCAGCTGGCAGATGCTAAAATAATCCTGTTTTACATGGTGATTTGAGAGGCTTTTCAAATTACAGATTCACAGAGTCCCAGAATATTCAGAGTTGGAAGGGACCCACAAGAATCAATGAGTTCAACTCCTAGCCCTGCACAGGACAGTCCCAAGAATCACAGCATGTGCCTGAGAGCACTGTCCAAATGCTTCTTGAGCTTTTTGTTTTCCTCCAAGATCATTATTTTGTTTTCTTCCAAAGAGAACCAGATGAAGTTGGGGATGCCTATTTTCTTGAGGGTGTTTCTCTTACCACTCTCAGATCTCGATACATGTCATGACCTATACAAAGTAAGGGATAGATTTTTCCAAAGTGACTTGCATTAGTTTGGATAACTGAGAGAGATCATGGCAGTACACCAGAGTAATGTGCAGTGAGGAACAAGACTGTGGGTGATGCAAGTCTTTAGAAGATATCCACATTTGGGAAATGACCACTGGTGAAAACCCATCTCATGGACATGCTAGCAAATATAATCAATGTTATTGTACTCCTCTTGGTATCATTACACCTGATTTTATTTTTCCCCCTTTTGTAGGTGATATTCACAGTATATCTTTAATGACCTAGATTTTTTAAAAAATATAAAAATCTGTAAACTTAATACAGCTCATCCAGTATTATCCAATCAAATTAATACACGTTTGCTCAGCTCTTTAGTCCCATCACTCTCTACCACTGTTGGCACTAGTTTTCATTAAAAAGTCAAACTTGCTAAGAATTGCCAGTTTTTCCTCATACAGCCCTGAGTGCTGTAGACTGCCTGGATGAAAAGAGGAGTTCTAGGGTGGCAGGAGAGAAAAGTGAGCTGGTGGGAGCCACACTGGAAGAGGACAGGTACCACAAGGAGCTCCTTCGAAGGAGTGTTGATCCACTTTGGTTAATGATGGTATAGGTAATTAAGCCTGAAATACAAGTAGGATTCAGTAAGTAGAATTGAATTTTGATTTAACCTTGTGATGGGTTATGCAAAGAGAAGAGCACTGAAAAGAGGGAATTTCTTAATAATATTGACTCCTGCCACAACACTGGACATTCTTGAAACAAGTCTACTCAACTGGAAAATTGGATGTGAGGAGGAGGAGAACTTCTCTATGACTCAGATGTTAGACTCTGCTGTACTGCCTGCTTGGGAATTAATACAAAGCCTTACATTGAGAAGAAAAAGCAGTTTTCTTGCCTTGCATTAATACAAACATTGATGTTCATTTTGGGAGCATTTTGCCTTTAGAACATTCACAGCTGTTCTGTTTGTGTACAGCCCTAAATAGATTTAGCTTAGAGAATAACACATACTATGTGGTGTCTCTAGAGGCAGAATTAATGCTCTTGTAATTAGTTTGCATGTGCTTTTGACCACCTTTAGGGTACCAGATGACAGTGACCCTGGACTGTCCAGCCTGTCTGGGAATGGGTGTCCCTGATCACTTTTACTTGTCACCTAGAACAAACCAACATCTTTTGCAAAGGACAGTAAAGAGCAGCAGGAACATCTAAGGAAAACAGAAAAGTGGGTTTGTGGAAATGGGCATATGCCAAGGAAGGTTAATAATGTCAGAAATAGATAATGTTGAGGTAAAAATGGCAAGTTCCTTCTTTAACTATCAAACAATTTAACTCTGATCAAAATTTTCTCACTTGTCATTTTAATTTTCTTTTTTTTTAATTATTGCTCTGATGAAACTGAGATTTATCTTTTTACAGAACTTTTCCTTTCTGAAAAATCTAAGGAAAAGCCCCTTTGGAGTGCCCTAAGTGAAAGATAGTGTAAGATTGTTTTCTCTAAAACAAACTTCCTGGATATTATTTCTTCAGAATAAATTGCTCTGTGTTTTAATATTTAAAAGGTGTCATGCTTTTTCTCATCCTCCTATATTAAAAAAAAAACCCAACCACAAGCAGATGACATGCTATAAGGGCCAGAGTAAATACTCATGGCTTTCAGATTGCCTTTTAATCCACTATTTTGGTCCATTTTTAACTTCAAACCCCTGTGCAACATCTGGCTAAGGATTACATGGTGGAGTTAAGGTTGTGGTTGAGCCCATCCCTTAATGGAATTTTATGTTTTTCACACACAACTATTTTTCTGAATCAGATGTTTCATGCCTGACTTATTCATCCATGTGACAGTTAATTACTTTTGAAGTAATTGAGACATTATTGAAGGAATTAGGTAAGAGAGCTGTCAGCAGGA